ACACTACCATTGTTCAAAAGAGAGGAGGAGATGAAGGCAAGCTTGGGTTTAAAAGCCTGTATATTCTTGAAAAAGAAGCTATAGTTCCACAAGTTTTAGTACAGCAACATATTTGACAAAATAACTATCTGGAATACAAGACTTGATGTTTTATTGAGATCTGTCTCTTGATTAAACTTTTGAAAAAATATAAAACACATAGGTACTCAGTCATCCTAGAGAAGTTTTTTTTAGAGCAATGAGACTGTGCTGTTTTCTGGGTCTGCAGATTGTTAAGGTGCAAAGATGTCCTTTAGTAGAGTGATGTGCTCTTCCTGTCAAATGTGGGCGATTAGAGAGACAGTGAGAAAAGAGATTAGACTGAGACGGGAGCAATTGGGCAAAGATGCAATTCAAGCAGTCAAGGCAGGCAGTAACAAAGCAGAGAATGAGGTAGGACTGAAAAATTAAACTGCATTTATTTCAATGCACGATGCCTGACAGGTAAGGCAGATGAACTCAGGGCATGGTTGGAAACATGGGACTAGGATGTCATAGCTATTACGGAAATGGGGCTCAGGGATGGACAGGACTGGCAGCTTAAAGTTCCAGAGTAGATGCTATAGGAACGATAGGAAGGGGGCAAGAGAGGAGGACGAGTGGTGTCTTTGATTAGGGATAACATTACGGGGCTGTACTTAGGGAGGATACACTTGGGAGTATGTCCAGGGAAGTTATTTGGGTGGAACTGAGAGATAAGAAAGGGATGATCACCTTGTTGGGATTGTACTATAGACCACCCCCAAGAACAATCATTGGGAATTTGAGGAGCAAATTTGTAAGGAGATCTCGGTTATCTGTAAGAATAATAGGGTGGTAATGGTAGGGGATTTTAACTTCTCAAACATAGACTGGGACTGCTATAGTGTTAAGGGCTTGGGTGGAAATGAATTTAAGTGTGTACAAGAAAATACTCTGATTCAGTAATGTGGATGTACCCACTGTAGAAGGAGCAGAACTTGACCTACTCTAGGGAAATAGGCAGGGAAAGTGACTGAGGTTTAGGTGGGGGAGTACTTTGGGGCCAGTGATCATAATTCTATTAGTTTCAAAATAGTGATGGAAAAGGAGAGACCAGATCTAAAAGCTAAAGTTCTAATTTGGAGGAAGACTAATTTTGATGGTGTTAAGCGAGAATGTTCGAAAGTTGATTGAGGGCAGATATTTACAGGTAAAGTAATGGCTGGAAAGTGGGGAGCCTTCAAAAATGAGATAACAAAAGTCCAGAGACACCATGTTCCTTTTAGGGTGAAGGGCGAGGCTGGTAGGTGTAAGGAATGTTGGACGACTAGAGAAATTGAGGTTTTGGTAATGAAAAAGAAGGAAGCATGTGTCAGATGTAGACAGCAGGGATCAAGTGAATCCCTAGAAGAATATAAAGGCAGCAGAACTATACGTAAGAGAGAAATCAGGAGGGCAAAATGGGAAAATGAGATAGCTTTGGCAAATAGGATTAAGGAGAATTCAGAGCGATTCTACACATATATGGAGGATGAAAGAATATCTAGGGAGAGAATAGAGCCCCTTAAAGATCAGCAAGACCTCCTATGTATGGAACTGCAGGAGTTTACTGTGGAGAAGGATATGGAAGCTAGCAACGGTGAGGAAATAAATAGCGACATCTCGAAAAGTGTCCATATTACAGAGGAGAAAGTGCTGGACGGCTTAAAATGAAAAAAGGTGGATAAATACCTGGGACTTCATCAGGTGTACCCTAGAACTCTGTGGGAAGTTACGAAAGTGATTACTGGGCCCCTTGCTGAGATATTTTTATCATTGTTGGCGCAAGCGAGGTGCTGGAAGGCTGGAGGTTGACTAACGTGATGTCATTATTTCAAAAAGGTAGTAAGGAAAAGCCAGTGAACTATAGACCAGTGAGCATGACATCAGTGGTGGGCAAGTTGTTGTAGGGGACCCTGAGGGACAGGATTTACATGCATTTTGAAAGGAAAGGACTGATTAGGGATAGTCAAAATGGCTTCATGTCTCCCTAATTTGATTGAGTCTTTTGAAGAAGTAGTGAAGAGGATTATGAAGGAGGAGCAGTGGATATGATCTGTATGGACTTCAGAAAGACATTTGACATTGTTCCACATGGTAGACTGGTTAAAAAGATTACATCATGTGGAATACAGTGGGAACTAACCATTTGGGTGAAGAACTGGCTCAACATTTGGTGACGGAGGGTGGTGGTGGAGAGTTACTTTACCGACTGGAGGCCTGTGACCAGTAGCGTGCCACAAAGATCGATGCTGAGTCCACTGCTCACTTATATAAATGATTTGAATGAAAACACAGGAGGGATGGTTAGTTAGTTTGCACAATACACCAGAATTTGTGATGTGGTGGACTGCAAAGTTTACCTCAGAGTACAACAGGATCCTGATCAGATGGGCCAATGGGCTGAGAAGTGGCAGATGGAGTTTAATTTAGAAAATTGTGAAGTGCTGCATTTTGGAAGGGCAAATCAGCGCAGGACTTATACACTTAATCGTAAGGTCCTGAGGAGTGTTGCTGAACAAAGAGACCTTGGAGTGCATGTTCATAGTTCCTTGAAAGTGGAATCACAGGTAGACAGGGTAGTGAAGAAGGTGTTTATGGGTATGTTTGCCTTTCTTGGTCAGTGCATTAAGTATAGGAGTTGGGAGGTCATGTTGCGGCTGCGTAGGACATTGGTTAGGCCCTTTTTTGAAAACTGTGTTCCGTTCTGGTCTCCCAGCGAAAGGAAGGATGTTGTGAAAAATGAAAGGGTTCGGAAACGATTACAAGGATGTTGCCAGGGTTGGAAGGTTTGAACTACAGGAAGAGGCTAAGTAGGCTGGGGCTATTTTCCCTTGACCATTGGAGGCTGAGGGGAGACTGTATAGAAGTTTATAAAATCATGAGGGGCATGGATAGGGTGAATAGCCAATGTCTTTTCCCCCGGTTAGGGGAGGTCAAAGCTAGAGGGCATAGGTTAAGGTGAGAGGGAAAAGATTTAAGTGACCTGAAGGGCAACTTTTTCACCCAGGGCTGGTATGTGTATGGAACAAGCTGCCAGAGGAAGTGTTAGAGGCTGGTACAATTACAGCATTTAAAAGGCATCTGGATGGGTACATGAATAGGAACACTTTAGAGGGATATGGGCCAAACGCTAGCAAATGGGACTATATTAATTTAGGATATCTGTTCAGCACGGATGAGTTGGACCGAAGAGTCTGTTTCCATGCTATAAAGCTGTCTGACCTTGAATAACACGGAATTTGCCTCAGCCTGAACATTATTGCTTCAGGAAAGGGAAACAAAAATAAAAAATAGAAGGAAAAGAAGAGATAGCTTGTTGCCAACTTAATAAGTGGAGGTAAATAGTTTGGTAACTTACAGTATTTGAGCAAAGAGTTAACTTTTTACATTCAGGAAACCTCGTTATTTCCTTGATGTCTAAATGGAACTGATTTAACAGTGAGCTTTCCTTTACAGTTCATTGTCTGCCTTGCCCACTTTGAACTTAATGTTTAGAGAAGACAAATCTGCACATAACACTGGTATTCTTTTTGTATACCTCAGGTTCTTGACAATAAAAGACTATCAAGAATTATAAGTAGAGAAAAGGCACTGTAATCCTTTAATATTTTACTTATTTTAGTGCTTGGTTCAAATTTTGTCACCATTCATTTAGAAGTTTTAGGTCAGAAAAGAAGGAATAAATCCTGTTCGTGGCTCTGAAAGAAGTGTCAAATAATTGTTCCTCTACAAAAACCGACTTGCCTCGTGTAGTCGGTTTAGCAGTGTTCATATCTCCAGTCAAGTTATTTTACTGTAGACATTCTCAGTGGTGCCTATGGTACTGTAACTTTGTTTCTGCCTTCAATGAATGCACTATATAATCCTGGTGTGTGTGGTTCTATGGGTACTAATTACCTTAGAGTGCATTACTCTTTATATTTAGGGGTTCGATTAGGTCAGTTGGCTGGACGGCTGGTTTCCAAAGCAGAGTTTTGCCAAGAGCGTGGGTTCAATTCCCACAACAGCTGAACTTATCATGAAGGACTCTATTTCTCAATCTCTCCTCTCAGCTGAGACTTTGGGACTCTCAGTTCAAACCACCACCAGTAGTCTCTCTGTAAAGAGAGAGCTGCTCTATGGTCTGGTAGGACTATGGTGACTTAGCTTTAACATTACTCAAGCAGCCATATTCCAGATGTGACTGTGACCAGGTATTGTTTGACTTGACACAACATACGTGCACTTGAACTTTCTAGAAGAGACCACTGAACAGAAATTGAGTGTAGAAACTGTCGCTAATTTCTGCATCCCCAACTGAAAAACAAATTTACTGTTGCTGAAATTTTCAAGATTTGCATCATTTATTTGGACTACAGTGATAAGAATTGGATTTTTGTAGATATTAATTATTACTGGAAAAGTTCTTTCCACTGCGCCGAAAGCCATATTATAAACACTTGGAATAATACTGTTGGTGAAAATATTTAAATATGTGCATTCAGGTTGTTTGAATTTTTACAATACACCAGTGGTTTGGAGAATGTGGCCGCTTCATGACTTTGACATTGTTACTAACTTATTAATGCTAATTTCTACTTTTTTTCCTGTTGCAAGGATTCTGTTGTGTGCTATTGTAAAATCTTTGAAGTATGTTTAGTACATTGCTTCCAATAAGAAATAATTTTCCATGTATAATTTTTAAGAATGATGTGGCGTTTAAGGCTAACTTAAAATTAATTCAGTTTAGTGCTTATGAGACTGCCCATTGAGAAAGATCCAAATCATTAATTAGCAAGATGACAAAAAGGTGTAGAACATGGAGAAGGAGTGTGTGTAAAGAGAAAGTGAATGTGCACTATTTGGCAAAGGTTGCAATATAGACTGAAATCAACTGCTCTTTTCCATAAATGGTAAATATATTTTTTAAATTCTCTGAAATTCGAGTCCCATGCCTCATGGTTCTGTTTTTCTTTCAGGTGTGTACTCTTGCCATTGTTGGGAATAAAACCACCTTCACAGAATCTGTTCATTGTCGTAGACTCTGTCGACGAAGGCTGTAACTACGCGGAAGGAGAGCAAAGGCAAGCAGGCCTGACACGGACTATAGCAGAGCTTTTAGCAAGTCATCATGAGTTCTTTCCACCATGGTTGTTGCTTGTCTGCTCTTCCAGGAAGCAAAGTAAGATGGTGACAAAAATGTTCACAGGTGAGACACTAACCACCACCACCCCCCACAGCCCCCCCCCCCCCCCACCCAAGTAACACTGCTTGTTACACAGGACACAAAAATGCCATTATTGCTCGGCATCTATGTGTTTGTCGTTAGGTTTCTCCACCCTTTGATTTTTTTAAAAATGTGGCTTCTTCCATGCTCCTATAAGCTGTTTGTGTTCTTTCCTGTTCTATCAGCTGGGAGGACTGGACATCATTCCTTGAAACTGATATTGTTGTCATTTTTCCCACACTCTAGGTTCTAGGAGAGCAATGCTAAAACAAACTCCTTACATTGTGTTCCCATTTTTGAATTCTAAATCTACAAACCAGTTAGATCCATAGAGTTGGCAATTCTTATTTCATATTCAGAGAGTCACAAAACTGATCATGTCCAGAATCAGGTGGGGTCACATTATTTATATTGGTGAAATCCTGCAAATGCACTGAGAATCACATTGAAAAATAACCCTTCATGAGGATAAGTACATGCTTTCAATGAAGGAACCCAAATTTATAACATGCCACCTTTACTCTAACAGCTTGAAATACAGAGAAATCAGTATGAATGATTAGAATTTAGATTTGACTTATTTGAGTACGATTTTGACACTTAAACATTTGTAGCAAATCTTGGATGTAACCCAACTGCATCTTAGTTTATGTCACTTGAATCCATGCTTTACAATGATTGACCTTGTAGAAGTTTCTTATTGTTGTATCAAATTGCTCCGCATAATGGGTTAAAATTCTGCAGTAAACCCAAGGCACTGCATCAGGAAATATTGACCTCAATATCACCTCCAGATGAAGAGACCCTTACTAGAAAAGAATATTCAGCATACGAATATACTGAGCTCTATTGTTTTCATCTTGCTGCCAAGACGAGGCAAAACCTATTCAGTCAATGGGACACTCTGCGTAATTTTTTCATGCAGGCAGGGCAGAAAATAATGGGAAGCCTCTTGGTATCCTTTGGCCTCAGTCTAGGATTTGAAAAGAAGTATTTGTCAGTAAAAATATTTGTAGAATGGAGTCTGTGGTTTACTATCAATTAGGTTTGTGCCTGAAGCTCATAGTATCAGTATAGATTTGTAAAGGTGGAAATAATTTGGTGTGATATGGTGCGTAGATGTGCAGTGACATCTGCCTTTTTAAAATCTGGAATGCAGTAACTCGATCTTTGCTTACCACATTTGCCAATTTCACTGTTTAGGCATGTCTGGAGATTTCCAGATTAAAATTGCCGTAAGGAAAAGTCTACAGTGAATGCCATTGCTTCACACCTGACCACAAAATCTGGGTCAATAGCTATAGCTATTCAAACTTGTATTTTCCAATCTACTACAAGCAGTATATTCAGTGTACAGGATATTTAAGCATATATCAGTATGATTCTCATTACAAAACTATAATGGTATCATTCAGCTTTGACTGTAATTATGTGTGTGTTTGTTTTCAAAAGCATTTTGAAACAAACCAAAGCTGAACTTTGAGATAACAAGTTGTAGAGCTGGATGAACACAGCAGGCCAAGCAGCATCAGAGGAGCAGGAAAGCAGACGTTTCAGGTCTAGACCCTTCTTCAGAAAACTTTGAGACAGTTTTCCTGTCCAACACTGCCTTAAAAATGATTTCCTAATATGAATGTAATATTTTGGAGAGACAGTGCGATCATGTCTGTTCACATTGTTCAGTATAAACTGAGTAAATAGGAAAGTATGCCTCAGGAGCAGGAATATGCCATTTGGCCCTTCACACCTCTTCTGCCATTTAACAAGATCAGGATGATCTGAGTGTGGTTTCGACTCCACTTTTCTCCACTGTACATGATGTTTTTTTTTGTATGCTATGACTTGAACAAAAACTAATTGATTTGTGGTCTTTAAGCATAACTTGAGATTCATTCCAAATTCTTTCAGTACTACTGAGCCTCCTCAATTACAGTGATTTAATTTTTGATTCATCAAGATCAATACCATGTCCATATTCACTAGTGTAAATGAGTCTTATAATGCACATTACTAAACTTGTATGCAGAGAGATATGTTTTGCTGATTTTGGAGCATCTTGATTTTGTTTCTGTCACCAGATAATTTTGATGAGAAGCAAATGTGCATTGTATAAGCTAAAATAACAGAGCAATTGTTATGATACGATTTGCATTGGGTTGAAAATAGTCTGTTGTAAGTGCTGACCCTATCTGAAAACTTGATTGTGTGAAAATTTAGTTGATTAAGCTGCCTTAAGTGTAATGTAGCACATTTCCCCATGTGAGATAACAAGGTGTAGAGCTGGATGAACACAGCAGGCCAAGCAGCATCAGAGGAGCAGGAAAGCTGACACTTCGGGCCTAGACCCTTCATCTCCGCTGTCCAGAATCATCCTGTTTTGTGAATGTGAAAGTGATGCTCTTTTCATGTGTTATGTATGATTTTT